TGTATTTGTTGCAAAATAAACCGTACGCCAGTCTTGGAAAAACGAAATCGTTTCAAAAATTCCCCAGCATTTCACTTTTCAAAGTGATTTTATCTCAACTGAAAAACTTTTGGTCGTCGCATACGTGCCGGTTCTAATATGTTTATCACTTCTAAAACGTCTTCATCGTCAGTTAATACTCCTAATAAATTTTCCATCTTCAATTATAATGCTGTCACACCACCAAAACGATAAAGCACAGACATTTGAGGTTATGGACAGTTGAGCGAAGCTTAAACCACCCTGACATCAGCGCTCAGCTGAGCCTTCGTTTGAGCGCGGTTTAACATTGAACTATGTATTGTAAAACGGACAACTGCAGTTGAACCAAGGCTTATCTTTGAACCTCGCTTAAGCTTGCATTGTAAAACCGGGCCTTAGAGTGTTTAAAATATCTTTCACGCCTAAGTTGCAAATGTGTGCCATACATCGGAAGTGGCTATTTTTTTCGTCAAATCTAATGCTTTCTTGATTCAGAAGTTTTTTCAATTCTGCTATAAACATGTCGTTGGCAGAAGCATTGTCCATGGTGATGCCTTGAATTTTTTCTTTAAGACCGAAAAATTCTATAGATGAGTGAAAGAGTTTTGCAATGTCTAAACCTGTATGTTTTCCATCAGATGGTAGAAAATCTAAAGTTAGAGAACATAATTTCCAGTTGTCATCTATGTAATGTGCTGTTATTCCATAATAAGATTTTCTGTTAACAGACGTCCAACCGTCTACAGTAAAAGAAATTTTACTGCTAGTGTCAAGTAAAAGTTGTTTTACATTTTCACGCATTTGTTCGAAATATTTGAGAGTTGTACAACGTAGTTTGTCTTTTTTTGGCATTGATAGATTTGGAGAAATTAATTTGAAATAATTCTGTGTAGCTTCGTCATCAAAAAAGTTATACGGCAAACTTTTTCTTGATGTCCATATAACTGTTTCTTTAACAAAAATGTCTGTTGCATCGGCTGTTTTCACCAGATGCTGAAAACCAAAAAAATCGTAGTTGTATTTATATAGGTTAGTAATCAGAACTTATTACTTAAAAACATGTGATTACGTTATTACGAGTATTATTATATGAAATATGTAAAATCTTTTTTTTTTATTTAAGATTTTGAGAGATTGTCAGAGCACGGAGCTTTGAAGCAACCAATGCAGTTAGTTCTGATTTTTTGTTTTACAGTCACATTTTGTGACAATGAAAGACTATTGTTTTACACAACTTCTAAAAAAATTTAATTGTCGTCAGAGGCAGAGGCATTAAGTTTTGCTAAAAAAAAATCATAAAACAACCCAAAATTGGGTTTTAATATCCAATTATAGTTCCACAGTAGGACCTTTTTTTAAAAAGAGTCGAGCCCCCAAAGAGTAGCTAATAATTTTGTAATTTGTTTTTTAAATTGGAACTAATGATTTTTTCGCAAAAGATTCAGCTTTAATTATCACAAAACGTGACTGAAAAAGGATAAATTCGAACTCACTGCGTCGGCACCGGCCGTTTCAAACTTTGGTAAATCCCCCTGTTAATTATATATTCGAGAAGTGAGAAAAAAATAACATTCACATTCACACAAAAACCTATATTGTACCTGTATTTACCTTTGAAGTAGACTTAAATGCATCCTCCAATTTCAGTTGCCCCTTCTCTGCGACATTAACATTAACCCCAAATATTTCTTCATATGAGTTTCGATGTATTGACTTTAAATGTTTTTTTAATCCACTTGTGTTGGAATCCTTCATTTTTATACATTTTCTTGTCGAACACAATTTACAAACACCTATTTTAAAATTATTTTCCATTTCAAAATGAAAAAAACCTTTGACAGTTCGTTTTTTTTCTGTGCTTGCAGTCGAAGGTTCACTGTCACTATCAATCGCGTTATTAAGATGTACAGATTCATTATAATTTGTTTTCTTTGACTGCATCTTAAAGATCCTTGTTCAAGGTAAAGCCTACTAAATTTTTTTCAATTCTTTCTCAATAATATCTCAGTCTGGCACGTCAGCGTACTTACACTCGAATGCGAATAATATTACAATACTCGACAAATCATTAGAAATTGAACTGGTTTTCTTAATTCTCAGAAAGTTCTTGACCCCAGTGGATGTAGGAAAACAATTCTAGGAAATAAAGACTGTAGCGAGACTTTCGAGACTTTCGAGACTCTCGCGAGACGATACCGAGACTATAATAATCGAGACTCTCGAAAATCGAGACCGATATCTACGTTTCGAGATTTGACGAGCCCGATATCGAGACCCATTAAATCTCGACGAGACGAGACGAGACCGAATCCCTAATTTTCACGTTTTGTAATAGAATTATTTAAGGGTCTTTTTCGCGTGCAATAATAGCAAATTGTTGAAATGTCAGTCATGACATGTCCACAGAGTTTGAAGTGGACATAATTAATATAATTGCAAGGTCATCACTTGCCAGTATTGATTCAACGTGCATTGTTATTCATGTGGTTGATATGCCACCTTCGCTGGACCTGGCCATCATGTGTCAGCAGTTCTAAAAACTTTACTAATAGAGCAATTCCAGACATTTTTCAACAAAGAGTGTGTAATAATTTTTTAAGGTGACGTCATCCAGTTTGAGGAGGGATTGGATAAATACATTTGAATTAACGTACGCGTTACTTTTAAATTTTGCATGCATAGGAGGAATATTACGCAATAGCTGTGTCTTTTCCCTCCGGCCAACTTTGATTTCGTCGATAGTGAGTTGTGGCGACCAAATCAGTGAAGTTATCTGATGTGTGTATAGAAGTGGGAGTAGAAAGTCTTTATTTAACGTAACGTAAGACGGTTAATTTTAAATAATAAAACATATATTGCGTGTTCTGCCATTCCACGTTTCGTACATTTTTAATTAGAACTTTCTCTTGAAAGTTTTTAGAGAAGTTTTGGCCGCTTTAGCACAGAGCTTGACGAAATAATTAGTAGCGGCAACTCTGAAGTTGTGTGTATATTAACTGTAATCGATACGCTATCAATTTAAAAGTAAACATACTAAGCTGTTATGGTTGAAATTAGCTTCGCAAAGTGAATCTAAAAGAAGTTTTCATTTCGTAGGCGAAGCAGTCGAATTTAATCGTGTTTTTAAAGTCTTTTGTGCTAAGTTAGCCGTGGAGTTTGTACATTCGAGTGAGTTGGAAGTAACATTATAGTGAATTGCTTAACTAACCGAGTCCCGTCGTAGTTATGGATAAATTACACAAGTTTGTCTACTGCTATCAGCAGCAGCAAGGTATAAATTTTGCACGAATTTTTCTGTTGAAACCTCATGTTTTTGTACTTCATAATCCCCTGAAAGTAGCATTTTAATTTGCGTTTTTAATATAAGCGGGATTAGATTAGGATTAGAGCATGCGGGGTTAACCTAAGCCCTAAAAATTGTTGTGGTATCAAGTTTAATAAATCGCCGGCAAAGTCTATTCAAAAGAATTCGATGGGCGTTCCATAAAAGTTGGGATTTAGGTCCATTGAAATAGTTGAAAAGTTGTTTAGTATACATTTAGCCGCGCGGTGTAAATTCATCATGCCCCATTTTTCCCGGCCATACAAACACGCTTTTCATGCTAATTGATACGTCGAGGACTCAAAGAAGAGTCCCTAATGATGATGATAATAATAATAATAATAATAATGACGATGTTATTAATCTAGAGACACTTTTACGTGTTAATTCGTTTAATCGATTTGTTGGAGAAGACAGGGGGTCACAATAATAATGATGGTGATGGTGATGTGTTTGGATTTTTCTCGTGAGTTTGATCCCGGAGCAAGTTTAATTGATATGCCGAGGAGGATAAGCGTGGTAAAGTAGTTCGAAAGAACGATGTCGCGTTGCCGCAACATCCTTAATAAGGGAATGTTCGGGGTGAAACAAGAACAGTGGTCGGATTGAAAGTGACATTTCTCGCACGTTTCCGCAAACGTGGATAAAACAGCGGCATTTTGAAAATAACGTGTGCTTTGTGCTTCGAATAATCATCCTAACGTAAAACATTCGACCCAAAGCCGCATAGGGAAAATTCAATTCGGCAAATTCATTAACGTAATGAGATCTTTGGAGTGATTCTGGCGGATTTCGCAAATGCACCTCGTTTACGGGGTGCAGTGCATTACAAAAGAGATGAGTCATCGTTCTATCCAACAGTAGAATTAGAGGATTTCTTTCTTTTTTATATATTATGAGGCAGTCGGATTTAGGGGACGTCCCAGATCCGCTTGGGAAGGTTTAGGTTAAACTGTTGGCTAATTAGCCTGTCACGGTATCTTGTCGGCCTCCGTAACTGGTCGAGCCTAAAATCGCATTAATTTTTTTACGTAATGCAATTTGCATCCGTAATGCCGAAGAATAGTTTGACGGAAGTTTTTGAATAATTAAATAGAATTACGAGGTTTTTCAGCGGCGCATTTATTACCCCGCGGAATAACGGCACCCCGAAGTTTCGTTCTATTGTTCTGCACATATTTTTACTCCAGGAGCATCTGGGAGCAAATTGTATGCACTTTCCTCGGCAATTCGCTAGAAGACACTATAAAGCGGTATAACTCAAGATTTCGTTTAATTGGGTCGGATTTTCGTCTAAAGAGCTGCTTTACAAATAAGTGAATAGGTGCTTGCAAAGGATCCTCCAGGAAATATGAAAGCAAAACGCTCAGAACAATAGACCAGGATGAACAACGCGGAGCGTAAAGCGACACCCAGCGGAAGATGCATCCTTTTCTAAATGCAGAAATAATACTAACTTCGGCCGACTACTAACTAACCAAACTCTTTAGATCGCAACTTCATTCAACACCGGATCAGATTTGAAGCGTTTTAATGGCAATATTAGCATTTTAATTACTTTCCAACTCCAATCAACGCCGAACCCTCTTTTCTACTAAATATATACTACCCTCGCTGATCGCCCGATTGATTCTTAACCGATTTATTTTTCTTACAGATTTTCGAAGATTACTACCTTTTCACGCACAGAGGCGTTTCCAAGAGATCTCTCGTTACGAACCCCGAAAAGAAGGTTAAACTCGCGGTCGACACCAGGGTACGATGGTCCCAACAACAAAAAGCGAAGAAACGGGTCAAGAGAGACTTCAGACTACAAGATGCCGACCCCAAATGGCCCAGCATGTGGTATCTGGTACGTAAAAGTATATTCCTACACCGTTACTCACTAGATACCTTTTCTTTTTTCCTGACACTTGCATGGACCGGTCCCCCGGTAAAACCATCTTCGTTTCAAAAAACCCACAAACACATCGATTTATAACAAAAAGACAAAACTACGTCTATGTATTTTCTAAAATGCACTTGGAGTGACCTTCCGTAATTAAAATAAACACGAAGGTGCGAGAAGTTCAAATTTGCGCCCACTCCCGTCTGCAACGTCGTGGGATTGTTTAATACCAACTCCTTCTCCCCTGCGCTTTTTATCACTTTGACCCCGATGATGTAAAATTTTCGGAACGGGATTTAATAAACCTTCCCGTTTTAAAGTTCTATTACTCACAGTGTGCTGGGTAATAGCAATAATAAGGTAAATCTTTGTATTTTGTGTCCCTTTGTCCGGGATAACTCAAAAGTGTCTTCATCGACCGTTTTCAGATTTTGCATTGAGTCTCGAGTTAATTAATTTTTAGTAACAATAGGAGAAAAGGGTGTAAAGGAGGAACACGTGATAATAAAGTTAATACAATCGATCTATGTAAAAATTACTTTGTTCATATTTATGGGTTTCAATTATTAATTATAGTAAAAATCTATAACAATATATCGTTCGCTCTAACACAATGCCATTGTTCCCGTGGTATATTGTTTTGAATTTTATTGACCAAAATCAATGCTCTCAGTGCAAATATTCGTGGAGGTTTCTTAAATCTATCCATTAAAAGTTTGTTTATCATCTAAATGTCTTGTCTCAAACCTTGAACTCGTTATAGAGCAGAAAATAGATTTTTACGGCTTTTCCAATACCTTTATAAGCTCTTTTCGTAAATAAATTAACGCAGAATGAGCAATTAAAAGATTCACAAAAGTGCGAAAATCGTTTACAGCTCTTTAGCACTTAAAACACTCCGGTTCGCCGACGTCAAAACTGTAATGTTATTTTTGTCTTGCTTTTCAATACAAGCGTTTTAAACCCAAATTTAACTATAGAAATTCGAAGAATGGAATTTCATTCAGTGCTACTACAACCCCATTTCCTGCAATAATCTCCTGACGTTTCGCTGTTGTCACAATTAAAAGTTTTCGAATTATTGTTGACAAAGGGAGAGCTGATAAACAATGAAATAAAAAAGAAAGTAATACAAACGTCTTAGAACTCAATATCAAAAATTTTGCTTCTTTTAAAGAGCAGAAAGGCGATCATGCGCTACTTGGATGGGTAACCAACTAGGCTCGGTACGAGCAAATTCTACATAAAATTCAAATACCTGGGGACTGGTCTAATATCGTCTCAAACTTGTCTGCACTAGAGAGCATAGATGATGCAGACTCTCTAGTTCTTCTTACGCTTTTCATAAAAAACTCTTCTTCAAACCAATTTTTTTTTGTTTCGCTTATAGAATAGAGGCAACGGTTTAGATATGAACGTTATTCCCGCTTGGCTGGAAGGAATAACGGGTAAAGGTGCGGTGGTGACGATTCTTGACGATGGTCTTGAAAAAGACCACCCCGACTTGCTACAAAATTACGTAAGTTTAACGTTTTATAGAAACCTTCAGTCTAACAATAACGGATCTATAGGATCCTATGGCTTCATACGACGTCAACAGCCATGATTCTGATCCTAGTCCAAGATACGATATGATTGACTCGAATAGACATGGAACAAGATGTGCTGGTGAAGTAGCGGCTACTAGCAATAATTCTGTGTGTGCTTTGGGGGTGGCCCATGGGGCACAAGTAGGTGGTGTGAGGATGTTAGACGGTGATGTGACCGATGCAGTTGAGGCTAGATCCTTAAGTTTAAATCCTCAACACATTGACATCTACAGTGCTTCATGGGGCCCCGATGACGATGGCAAAACTGTAGATGGTCCAGGGGAGTTAGCCACTCGAGCTTTTATCGAAGGAGTGAAAAACGTAAGGTTAGTTAATTGTGTCGTTCGATAAGCCAGAATTTTTCCTTAGGGACGCAACGGCAAAGGCTCGATTTTCGTTTGGGCTTCAGGCAATGGTGGCCGGGATCACGACAATTGCAATTGTGATGGCTACACAAACTCCATTTATAGTTTATCTATATCTAGTGCTACCGAACACGGGCATGTCCCTTGGTATAGCGAAGCGTGCAGTTCTACCTTGGCTTCAACTTACAGCAGCGGAGCTGTGGGGGAAAGACAGGTTGTCACTACAGACTTAAGACATTCTTGCACTAGTAGCCACACAGGAACTAGCGCTTCGGCACCACTTGCAGCGGGAATTTGTGCACTGGCTTTGGAAGCCAATCCTAATCTAACCTGGAGGGACATGCAACATATTGTCGTACGAACGGCAAGACCGCAGAATTTGATTGCCCCAGACTGGCAAACCAATGGGGTTGGGAGGAACGTTTCTCATAGTTTTGGTTACGGCCTGATGGATGCCTACGCCATGGTTCAGTTGTCCAGAAATTGGATTACAGTGCCTGAGCAACACAAATGCGAGATCACTGCACCTCACGTCCAAAGGTACGCAAAGCCAGAATCAAATCATATTAACACCATCAAGACAGCAGGTTGAGTGCAAAACATTCTACTTCTACTAGTCATAACCAGTGAAGGTGGTGTTAATTTAGTTGTAGTAATTTGATTTTGGCTGCGTTAGTTCGCGTTGGGTCTTTAAATTTACTACGAAAAAACCTTCCAGGCCTATTCCTGCCAAGAGTGTAGTCGTTTTACAACTACAGGTTAAAGAGTGCGAAGGAGTCGAAGTGTTAGAACACGTCCAAGCCAAACTAACAATATTTTCTCAAAGACGTGGTGATCTTAACATTCAGTTGACGTCACCAATGGGTACCCGGGTGACTTTGCTGGCCCACAGAGCTCACGATACCTCTAGAATAGGTTTTACTCACTGGCCTTTTATGTCTGTGCATTCGTGGGGCGAAACTCCATTTGGGACATGGCAGTTGGAGATTCACAATGATGGTCGTCTTCTTGGTGAGTTGAGCGTTTGACGTTTCCTTCTTTTGTGTGTATATGTGGTAAAAAATACTAATATTTAGGTTTAGGTTACTAACAATTGTAACGAAACTGTTTGCTTTTCAGGTCGAGCTACACTTCAGAACTGGTCTTTGGTCCTTTACGGGACCAAATCATTTCTTCCTTCTTTACCTAATAGCATAGAATCAAATAAAGTAACCAAACCTAAAGCAAATAACATATTTAAAAAGAAAAATTCGAAGAAACAAAAAAATAAGAATTCGCAAAAAGTAGTAACGACAAGTAAACCGCCAAAATCTCAGTTTAAATCAAAAATAAAAAGTACCACGTCAAAGTATTACGTACCTAACGTTACAAATATTAACTACTCGAAAAACCGCAAAGTAACTAAGACTACCACGGAATTTTCTCCATATTTTTACGCGATAAACAGTAGTAAATATAAGAATTCAGAAGAGGGAGTTAAGCCATATTTGAAGTTTGTTAAAAATATAACTATAACTTACCCCGTGATGATACCGTCTAAAGATACCACTAAACCTCGTGAATCGTTTAAAAAAGCTCAAAAACAAAAAGAAAAAAGCCGCGATATTAACTCTAATCGAAACGCAAAAGTTTTTACTACTAAAACGACCGAATTAACGACTTACGTAACTACTACGAGTTCTCCCAAAGGAAAATTGGGTAATTAAATTATAATATGGTTAATTTGTTGATTTTAGTTTCTTTGTTTTTGCATTCTTACTCGACTGCTAATTTTATCGAATTTTTCAAATGTGTTTGTTTTTCAGCAAACGTGACCGCATGGGACTTAACCTTGTATGGTACGGCCACTCCTCCAGCTGCCGACCTGAAACAAGAAACGGTCCATCAGCCTTCTATTGTTGATCTGTACCCCCAAGAAATTGATGATAACTCTATCCACGACGCGTCTGCGAATTCGCTGAAATTCGGCGCTGAGGTAATTTAGGCTATTGTTCTTTTGTAGGGGATACCTATTGACGTTTTTGTTTTTGTGTTTTTTGCAGGTCAAGAAAGATACGTCCGGTTGCTTAAAAACTAACGGCCAGTTTTGTTTAGGTTTGTGTATTGTTATAATTATGTGCTGCACGTCCTCATATAACTGCCAAGACACTCTCTATGTCCTATTAATATATACTATCAGTTCACTAATTTTCATGTTCGACTTGTATTTAAACATTTGGATCAAGTCTTGCCATATTAAACGTAGTATCATTGAATTTCATAATGTAAAGACATCATACAGACTTCACTGTCTTCATTCAACCACCAATCAAGAGAAAGAAAATTCTGACAACAATTTTCACAGAGACACGCGGAAAAACAAATGTAAAGTAACCCGACACATATTTAAGGATGTTTTTTTGAATATATTTTTTGTAGTACAAGTAGTAAATACAAGTAATTTTTTGCGGATAGTATATCACAACATTCGTAAATGGTTACATAGACTAAATACGCTTAGATTAGTAGTACTATTTTGTGATATCTCAACGTTTTATATATTTTTTAAGCTAAAGTGTTCAATATTATACATGTTACCTTCATATTCAAAATTGTCTAACTGAATTCTCTCAACCTACTACAAATAATCATCACCCATTTATCATGTGTGTGAATTTTGTTATGTTTATGAAATATTTATTTTTTATCTATTGTACAGTTTTATTATTTTCAAGCAATTTTTATTGTCGTCCAGTGAAGTAAACTAGCAAATGTCCAGTACTCGATCACTTTGTACTTAATACAAGTCAGTACACGGTGATGAAATAGTAAAGTTTGTTAGTCAGTTTTTATTTTTTGTTTTTGTTTATTATTATTATTACTATTATTTAAATGTTGCTTGTCTGACAACATACCAGTATTTCGCGAGTAATATTAAGATGTATGTGCCAAATTCGTAGTTCGTAGATGTTACAAGAAAAAAAGAACAAGGTAATCGCAGAACTGTTCCGCATAATTCGACTTATAAGTGCAATTACCTAACAACCTACAAAAGTACCAATACTTTTAGAAACGGAAATACAATAAAGATGGTATAGAACGATCTTTTACGTTTTTGGATTATTTTTCTACTTTACATGCAATGGTAATATTAGCTGTGATTATTTAATATTTAATTATTGTAAATAACTTGAAAGACTCATTTATATTTTATTATGTTGTTAATTTTTTAATAGTAGTTCCTGAAAACAAGTTCACCATTATTATTAAGGTACCTATGTACATGAGAATTTGTCTGATAATTATAATTGTAAGTAAATTACTTAATATGCCTTAATTTTATCACGTTAATTTGATGAATACTCAAACGAGTATCCGCTCAATGAATGAATGAGTGTTTGTATGTAGTAAATGTCTGTACTTATCTGTATTTTTAACTTTAGTCTTAGATAATTTGACAGATTCTTTAGTCCTCATGGCCTAGTCTTTAGCCATTCTGTTGAGATTTTTATTTATTATGACTACCTACCAAAGACAAATCTTTGGCCGTTTTTTACGTTTTTGAAACCGCTTATTTATGCATCATTCTCAACGGACTTGCTAATAACTAAAATATATTGTTATAATACATGTACATCAACTGTTTGTAAACTATAAAAGAATAATAAATTGTGGCTAAAACGATTACCAGTAAATCATTCCCATAACAACAATTGCCGTATCAACAACAATGAAGCCTTAATTACCTTAGGTAAGTCCACAACCCCAAGTTTGTCAGTTAATTTGCATGTTTTTTATTTTTGTGTTAAAATTGTTGTCAGATTTTTTTTTGTTTTACATATGTTGTAGATAGCACTAGTTTCTTTTCATTTCTGTCTTCCTTTATCCTGGCATGAGTAATACAGTAGTATTTTCAGGATGTCCAGAAAATCTGTTCCTTCATAACGGTCACTGCATCAAAACTTGTCCTGATGGTTTCTACAACTTGACAATCTCCACCAGCGAAAAATCCGAAACTGAAGACTTAGCTCCCGAGAACAACACCAACGTCTGTTTACCTTGTCACTACACTTGCAAAAAGTGTACAGGACCTGTAGACTACCAATGTACCGAATGTTTCCCGGATGCCATACTCATATCAAATTCTGACAGCGAAAACTTTTGTTACCCCCGGTCAGTAGCGTTTACCATGTTATCCAATACCTGGTACATTAGAGTATTTATAATGTTAATTGTAATAATAGTCCTAATAGTTTTACATTTAATTTGGCAGATATTTAAGTTGAGGAAACGGCAAAAGTCCCACTACTTCCATTTAAATCTAAAGAGTGCTCATAGCGCTGACAAAAATGTCAAAGTGGCTGTGTATAGTGATGATGAATAATAATAATAATCGAATTGTAGTACTCATTTTAACTGTACATAAGGACTGTTATATTTTTAAAAACATAAGACTCTTGAAAAATAAAGGACGAATGCAAAGTTGGATTCTTATTTATTCTACCTTTTCACCGAAACGACAGAGAAAGAGATAGAGAGAGAATTATTCATGTTAAATATGACACAGATGAGACTGTGTTTCACCACAAGAGGGTGATAATTTGTTGCATTATCCACACTAGAGTAATTTACAACATTCTTAAAACAAATATAAAGCCAAATTTGTAAAATAATTACGTTTTACAATGTAGAGTATGCAACCAGCAATACACAATAATTAAAAATAACTTGCCACACCACTGCAAAGCAGTGGCGGCTCTTAAAGGACCACAAAGTGTCTCTTTAAGTCACTCTTACATTACGAGCTACATACTCAATCAAAATAAAAAACCCACCCTTAATTAAGAAATCAATTTTTTAAATTTGCAATTTTCCCGCTTCGCGAATTGCCTACGTGACAAATCTCAATCCTCAAAAAAATCAAGTGAGTACAAGGGACGCGGTGGCCGCCATATTGGCCTTTTCGAGAAGCGAAGCTGCGCAGAGCGTCTGTGGATTTTTTCTTCTTGAAAAATCTTCATCAAAGTGCGTCAAAACTACCCAAAACCGATAGAATCACTCAGGTGAGATGCTAATTAACATTTTCCATAAAAAATTTTCACCCAACGACTTCGATTTTACGAAAATCGACTCGCCGCCACCGGCGCGTCCCCCACATGAAAAAAAGTTTCAAAACCCACTTAAAACTCTCCCCATCATCGAAAACACCAACACGACATGCAGAAATCCGTATTTTCGACTCTTCAGGGATAACAATTTTTAATTTAGGATAAAAAAATCGACGCTTTACATTAGGTACCGAGGTGGCTGTGCAAACGTTCTAGAAGGGCAAATGGCGTCGGTAAAGTGAATTTTTTTTTTCAAAGTTTATTATTGTTTAGTGAGTCAGAATCGCCCGATTTGATTATCATGTCTGATTCGGAAGACGAGCAACAGAGAATTGAGGAGGCTGTCGAGAATGGCAGGGGGGTGGGAGCCTGGCTCTGGAACGGGGATGTTCCAGAGGGGGGCGACTTCCCCCTGGACATTTTTGACGATGAAGAGGAAGGGCCTCCGAAGGCGGAGGAGGGTGCCTCTACGGATGAGCAAAGCGGGATGGTGAGGGCTCTGGTAGGAGTATCCCCGGAGGTTATTCAAGAGGTTCGCTCGGGAGCTGGAGGTGTGAGGTTGGACGAACTCCAGGAGGCTCTCGAACGAATTGAGTAAGTACATGCTTACACTCTTGTTGCGCTGAGTTGTGTGCGCGAAGCTTCAATTTTCCAGCTTGTCAAATGTCAACACAGGGGGGCGCATGCGCAGGACTTAATTTTTTTGATATGAAAATTGTCCGTAATTGTTATTAATTCAGTATTAATTGTCGTACATGACTATTGGCGTTTTGTTGATGGTGATGGTTTTTTACTGAAGTTGTTATTTTTGTGGCTATTGACTCCGCGAGATTAACGCACGCCACTGTGTTCTGTCTCGCTCTCTCAGTTAAATATTTTTCAAAGAATTAAACTAAAAATAAAAATGCAAGAAGCGTTTTCGTGGTTGAGACAGTGCAGTCATTTCGAGAGTTAAAATTGTGCGTATGTCCGAAAAAATCTGTCAAATCATTTCGGCAAGTGTAAAAATAAATACGGTTGGCAGCCCGGCATCTGAAGTTGTCATTCACTGTGGTGGATAGATATATGCAATTGTATAATAAAATATCCAAAATTTTTGTTATTTGTGATTTTATTAGTGGTGTTAATGTGATTTTCTGGTTAGTTTCATCCCACTAGTGATAATTGTGATTTATGTATGCAAGAAATCTACGAAAAACAACATACAGGGCCACTTATTTACATTTCCATTACTATAACCTAAAAAAGCCACTTGCAATGCTCATATAAATCAAGATTCAATTAAATTTATTTAATATTTTTCTTGTAAAGAGTTGGCGAGATCGTGACCGACCTCGTAGACGGCGCTTCAGGCATGGCTAGCGTTTCGTACCAGATTGCCAATCTTCTTGAGAAGGTTTGTAAATACACAAAATTCTCACGAAAAAAGTACAAAAGCCCATTTCTAGATGCAATCATCTGACAAAGATTTTCGTTTTATGGCCACGAATGACTTGATGGCCGAATTACAAAAAGACAGCATTAAGTTAGATGATGATTCTGAGCGCAAAGTCGTTCGAATGTTACTTAAACTTCTAGAGGACAAAAACGGAGAAGTACAAAACCTGGCCGTGAAATGGTAAGTAAATAATAGTCGAAATCCCCCTTCAACACCGTCTTGTAGTCTTGGGCCGCTGGTCAATAAAGTTAAAGAGTTCCAAGTAGAGACCATTGTGGAAGCTCTTTGTACTAACATGGTTTCCGACAAGGAACAATTACGAGATATATCTAGTATTGGTCTGAAAACAGTAATTGCCGAATTACCGCAAGCTCCAGGAGGCCTATCAGGGAACATCTGCAAGCGAATCACCGGCAGGTTGAGCTCAGCAATCGAAAGAGTATTTTTCTCGAATTATCGTCTTTCGAATTTTCTTTTTTTTTTCTCTCGTTTTAGCAAGACGATGTCTCTGTGCAGCTGGAAGCTTTAGACATAGTTACTGACTTGTTATACCGTTTTGGAAACGTGTTGACCCCACATCACCAACAAATTATAAACGCTCTTTTACCTCAATTGTGTTCACAACGTCAAGCAGTGCGCAAACGCACCATCGCTGCCTGCAGTAACTTGGTTCTTTCATGTAACCAACAACTGTACAATCAACTCATCGAACACCTCTACAACGGGATGAGAACTGACACTAAAAATTCGCAAATAAGAACTTACGTACAGTGCGTGGCTGCAGTGTGGTAAGTGGAAAAAAATCGGGTTTAGCGAATTTTGACTACTGGAATTTTAGCCGCCAATCTGGCCATAAATTTGGAGAACACATTGAGAAGTTTGTTCCTTTAATTCAGATGTGGAGCAGTGTTGATGATGATGAGACTAGAGAGTTTTGTTTGCAAGCTTTCGAGAGCTTTATTAATAGGTGCCCTAAAGAAATCACATCAAGAATTAGTGCTGTAGGTATTTTGTTTCAAATTTTACAGTTGGACTTAGGTGACTTTACAGATCACCGAGTTGTGCCTGAATTACATGACTCACGATCCTAATTATAATTATGATGAAGATGGGGATGACAAGGCCATGGGGGCCTATGATGACGAGGAGGAAGAAGAGAACGATGAGTATAGCGATGATGACGACATGAGCTGGAAAGTTAGAAGAGCAGCTGCTAAATGTCTGGAATCTATTATTTGTACCCGACATGAATTATTAGCAGAGTTCTATAGAGTTTTGTCTCCAGTGCTGATCTCTCGTTTCAAAGGTAAGTCCAAAAAATCTGATGTTCATTCGTTTTTGTCAAGAATCACCCCAACTTTTCCCATTTTTATATTGCTGCTTTTTTTTTTTTTTGTTGGTCCTCTATAATTATTATGTCCCAAAACAAAAAGAAACTACAGTTTCTCACTTGAGAATATTAAAAAAAAATTAATTAGTAAACGTGATTGGACCATTTACAATACCAGATGTTTAAAAAAAAATTGGTTTAAATATGTTTTTTGGTTTATAAAAAATTAATGTTTCAATCTTGAATGATTTTGAAAAAAAAAGTTATTCGAATGTTGCATATTTTCTTCCAAAAACGGAGAAGTGCAAAACCTGGCCGTAAAATGGTAAGTAAATAACCCTTAAAAATCCCCTTCAATCCCAAAAGTCTTGTTGATTTACGTAACTAGTCAATTCAAATTAAAATTGTTTTTAAATGTGACAACAGAATTGCGAGCCTTTGTTGATTTTTTTCTCTTTTATTTTGATATCTTGTGCTCGAGTAATTCAGAAAATACTTATTTTATCGTATCTCCCGGGTCGTAACTGTCGTAATTGTCAACAACAGTTTGAAAGAAAAATTATTTAGGTAAGTTTTTTGTAACATGATTTGTCCAGAAGTGATTCGTTCAGTGATTACACTAGTTTACAAGGTTTTATATCCAAAGACAAAAATAGTTGAATCTAAAGGATTTGGGTTCGGGAAATTGAAATCTGAAAGCAGAAAAAATCCATCATGTCAGGTTTTTGAGATATTTATATAAACATACCCCGTATTTCTTTTCTTTTATACAAGTCTTGTAATTTTTTTATTTTTAAATATATATGAATATATAGTTCTTTGAGCAAATGTGTATCATTTTAAAAGATCATTTACGTAAATAAATAACATGAGTCAATTTTTCAAGCTACTAGATTGTCATCAATGTTGATTTAAAATTTTTCAAGTATTGATTTTAGAATAAGTGGTTCCTTTTGATTTTTCTAGGGGAAATGATAATAAAAATGTGAGGTTGGCCTCACAAAGATTTTTTAAAATGATACAAATTTGCTCAAAGAAATACAGGTTTATCTTTAAGAATAAGGAAGTTACAGGGGTTGTATCAAATAAAAGCAACACCCAGTATATATTATAAACATTATGAGTGAAAATTAAAAATGATTAACACTAGCGTTTCTTTTATTGGCAGTACTGTCAGTTTCCCTTATAATAGACCAACAGTAACACATTTTCGTCCCAAAAACCTTGATACGTTCTTTTTAAACATATTTGAACAGGTCTTCCCGCTTTAAGTACTATAATTTTACCACAAACGTAACAAAACTGATTTGCACTTACTTTGCACGATTTCGAAGACATTTTTTATGCGACAATGGTGCATTAACATGAATCAGTTTAACACTAACGTGAAGGTAAAGCAAAGTTCATTATTTTGGATTTATGAAAAAACCTGACGTGATAGGAATTATCCGTTTTTGGATTTGTTACCAGTAAGTAATTTAGAAGTAGAAAATATTTTTTTTATTTTTGGATATGAAAAAAACTTTAAATTTGTAAACTAGTGTTATTGTTAATGGTAAATAGTCAGTAGCACATAGTCGAACATTTATGGTATTTGAAGACATTTTTATTTTTCCACCGAATTATCGATGATTGAAAAACTCAATGCCACAAGATACCAAATAAAAAAAACCACTAAAAAGGACTGGTTTGAAACGCAAACTCTTACCTAGCTTTTTTTTGATTAATTAAATTTATATTTAGCGTTAGCTGTATAAAAAAAAACAAGTCATAGTTCGCTACAACAAACAAATCACAAGCTTGACATAGTTCTTAAAATATTTTTGCACTTGTAAAAATAAACTCTTTGCTCTCTTCAGAGAGAGAAGAAAACGTGAAATCCGACATTTTCCGCGCCTACATTGCGTTGCTTCGTCAAACGAAAGCAACTATGAACGTGAACATAGACCCGAATTCCATGGAACAGGAAGAAATGCCCATCTACCTCCTCCAGCAGCAAGTTCCAATAATAGTGCGAGGAGTCCAGACCCAAATGAAAGAAAAAAGCGTGAAAACCAGGCAAGACTGTTTCCAACTCCTCAAGGAATTATGTCACGTGCTACCTGGCGCTTTAACCAATCATATCGGCGACCTCATGCCCGGTATTTTGTTTTCGCTGAGCGAAAAGAACGGTAGCAGCAATATGAAAATCGACGGATTGTCGTTCATATTCTGTCTGTTAACGTCACATCCACCGGAAGTTTTTCATCCACACATTAACATTATTTTGCCTCCTGTGATTAACAATGTTGGAGATAGTTTTTATAAAATTACTGCAGAGGCTCTCAGTGTGCTAAAAGAGCTGGTGAAGGTCATCAGACCGTTGAACCAAGAACTGAATTTTGATTTCACGCCGTTCGTGAAAGATATCTATATTTGTACTTTGATGAGATTGAAAACTGCTGATATTGACCAAGAGGTTAAAGAAAAGGCGATTTCGACGATGGGACAAGTGATTTGTAATTTGGGAGATCACTTAGGGAGCGAATTGCCGTTTTGTCTTCCTTTGTTTCTGGATAGATTAAGGAACGAGATTACGAGATTGACGACAGTGAAAGCTTTGACAAAAATTGCTGGGTCGCCTTTAGGGATTGAATTACCCATCTTGGTAACTTTTTTCTTTGATTCTGGAAGCAAAAATTTACGTGTTTGTGTTTAGGATGAAGCTATTCCGATCTTGGGGTTGTTCCTGAGAAAGAACCAAAGAGCTTTGAAGCTGAGTACTTTGCAACTACTTGACTGCTTGATAAAGAATTACCACGTCTATATGTATGTGGAGCTTTTGCAGCACGTCATTGTTGAAGTACCGCCGCTACTCGACGAGTCTGACTTACATATAGCTCAATATACTCTGGTTATATTGAAATCAATCGCAGAGTACCACCCTCGTGCTCTTCAAGATCTTCCAAACAATATTTTCCCACAGATTTTGGTTTTGGTTAAGTCCCCACTTTTGCAAGGTACGTTTTTTTTTATTGTGTTTCAGCCTCGTGAGTTCTATTTGTAGGATCTGCCCTCAATTCGATGCTGGACTTCTTCAAGACCCTTGTCCAGTGCAATCTGCCAGGATTGTCTTACAACGATTTACTACAATTCTTGATTCAACCAATCACCGTCAGTCAGGGTGCAGGAGCCGGTGACGTACCAATCCACAAACAAGCTTACTATTCCTTAGCCAAATGCGTAGCTGCCATTACAGTAACTATGCAACACCAAGCTTTACAAATCGTGCCCCAGTTCATCAACGAAATCCCGACTGCTCGTCACGATTCGCAGAAGATCTTCACTTTGCTCGTCGTCGGCGAAATAGGCCGCGAAATGTAAACATCACACACTTACAAAAACATCAATAATCATAGCGACTTTGCAGAGACCTGACTAGTTTCGAGAACCTCGAACAAATCATCTCTGAAGCGTTCTTCTCCGTTTCAGAAGAAGTAAAGTCGGCAGCTAGCTATGCCCTTGGTAGTATCGCCATCGGTAACTTACAACAGTATCTTCCATTTATATTGACTGAGGACGAGCATGAGCCTAGACGACAATATCTGCTTCTCCATTCGCTCAAAGAGGTGATAGTTTGCTTATCATCATCTCCTGAGGGTATCCAACAGCTGTTGCCTTTTGTTCCTGCTATCTGGGATACCTTGTATCGACACTGCGAGAGCCAGGAGGAGGGTACACGTAACGTAGTTTCAGAGTGTTTGGGAAAATTGACCCTGATCGATCCCACTCATCTCCTGCCGAAACTGCAAGAATCACTAGGTTCTAGCTCGCCGTTAATGCGTACTACGATCGTCACGGCGATCAAATTCACAATTTCTGATCAGGTTTGTAGAATTGTAGAAAACCGTAAGATTGCGGTAATCAATCTTTTTGTTGTAGCCGGTTTCTATCGACCCGCTGTTGCGTCAATGCATTGGTGAGTTTTTAAATGCGATGCAAGATAGTGACTTGAACGTCCGAAGAGTTGCTCTGGTTGCATTCAATTCGGCCGCTCATAACAAGCCATCTTTGATTAGAGATTTACTTGATACCGTGTTACCCCAGTTGTACGCGGAAACTAATATTAAGGTAGTTGTCGTTTAAGCTAAGTTAGTCACTAATTGCTGGATTTTAGCGAGAATTGATTCGCGAAGTGGAGATGGGTCCATTTAAGCATACTGTTGACGATGGTCTGGACTTGCGCAAAGCCGCATTTGAATGCATGTACACGTTGCTGGATTCGTGTTTGGATAGAATTAATATATTCGAGTTTATTAATCATGTGGAACTAGGCCTTAAGGATCATTATGACATTAAGATGTTAACCTACCTAATGGTATCTAGATTAGCTCAAATATGTCCCGGTGCTGTTCTCCAAAGTAAGTAATCACGTATAAAGTGACTTAAGTCTGATGGGTTCCGTAGGTCTAGATAGACTTGTGGAGCCTTTGAAAAGTACATGTACTATGAAAGTCAAAGCTAATTCTGTGAAACAAGAGTATGAGAAACAAGACGAACTGAAAAGAAGTGCCCTGAGGGCTGTTGTCGCATTGTTAAGCATTCCCGATGCTGGTAAGTCGTTTCGCGGGTGTTTAATTTTTCTAAGACTTATGTTTCAGATAAAAATCAACATCTGAATGAATTCGTCACCATTATCAAGACCTCTCCTGAGTTAGCGCAGATATTTGATTCAATCCAGAAAGATTCTAGCAGCAATATCAATGATTTCTTCTTGATGGATCAAAGTTAAATTTTTTGTATTTTTCTGGTTTAGTTCTTTTGTATTTTTGTTTCGTTTTGTTTCCTATTCATTTCATTTCGTTTTGTTTCATTATTCATAATGTTTCTTACTTTGTCAGATGTACCTTTTCTGGATCTGAGTTAATAAAGCTGTGTTTCAAGAAGGACATGGTTTCCTTTAGTGATTACGATTTTAATGATAAATTACAAATTATTTTACAAAGAAATGGTAAAAAATGGTTAAATTTTGGTTTGTTTCGTGACTGTTGCAGATTTTTTAATGGAAATTTTTACAGGTTTGTTTTAAGTAACTTATACCTAAACAGAATGCTAAACTTGAGATATCTGCTTCATGACTAATGAATTATTAGCAATTGAATCTACCAAGACGGTCATTTGATTGCAGAACGTTTTATTAAGCGGTTGTTGCTTTATTTTTGGTTGTAAAAGTGCCAGTGTTTGAAATGGGTATTATATACAGCGTCATCAAGCGATTCTGGACCACTAATAATGGCAAGTAGTGTATTATAAGCAGTCTAGACGACAATAGTATTAAAGACTTACAAATTTTCGAACTTTTCTGCTTTCATCATTTATTTGATACAAGTTTTTAGCATTTTCCGTAATTTGGAACTCAAACCAATGAGATACTTTTAAAGTGATTGCTTTTTAAAACCTATCTATTTTCACTTGATACTGTTGTCACCTACGTATAAAACACTTTCAAAATCTTGTGCTAATATTTAAGAGATAACCGTCTTGTACTCTTTTTTTATTAGTCAACATATTGCCAAAGTAAATTATAAAACGCCGAAAAATGTATAAAGAAAATTATCGTAAAAGTATATAATAAAGCATGAAATATATGAGGCGTCTCAAATTTTGTTTTCCGGACTATAGCTCTCTTATATTTGATATTGATAATGAAATATGAATACACAAAAATAAAGCCAAATGTTTTATGGCAGTTTATAACTCGGTCCTGCAATCCTCCATTTTGTTAATGTTGGTGAAATGGTTTTTTATATTATTTTCACTTTTTTTGTTACGTTTATTGCATAGGTACACCACAGATGAGTTTATTTTAAAGTGTGAAGATATATTGGGAAAACAACTGTGTATCTATGTGTAAATAACGATTTATTTTTGTTATACTTTAGAATGTTTAATTGTACCATCTTAAGGTGACAATAAGTTTGTGATAATATTTAAAAAGTCGTACAGAGAATGACAAGTACTTTTATTTTTCTAGAAAAAAAATAGTAGCATTGTAATTAAAAACAGAAAATTAGGGCCATAACAGACTCTATGCATTTACTATTGTATACTAAATATGTCATTAAACTTAGTTTTAATTGTGTAACAATATTAAATTAATAAAGGAGCTGTTCTCTAGGAAATAAAATCTGAAAACGCCGTATCTCTGATCTACCCATCAATACAATCTTACGATTTATGAAATTACAATAATCGTTTCGTTGTTGCATACAAGTTTTTTTCTAAAAGTTGTCCAAAAGTATTATTAATTCGGTAAAATATCTAAAAGCGTAAACCTCTTTGACGTTTTTTAAGCACAGTATCCACAAAATTAGCTTTGGAATTCTGAAACTATTATAGTTTCAAGGACATGATGTAAGTATGTCGCAAGCAAAATATAACGAAAAATTGCAGTCTTAATCAGAATTTTAAATTTTTATTGTCGATGAAAAATTGCTTCTTTTTCGTGACACACAGTGTATTTTATGTTAAAGTATTAAAAATGTAATTACGTTAATAATATGTTGACATTCTTGAGTGTATATCTGTTTAAGTAATGTGAGTATGAGTAGTAAACAGAATTATCGTTATCACTAACAGGCAATGTGTTTTGAATACTTACTTAAATATCTTTCGTAATTATCTGAATTTTTTAAACCATGTTCCATTCTTAGAAAACGTTTATATCAAGATTAGTATCAGTATTATGTCATTTTTGTAGTTTCATGGTCTGACGACGACGACGACGAGGATATCATAATGGAATTTGAATCCTGCGACAGTTATTACTCTGATGGTACTCAGTTTTATTAATAAAAAGTTGAATAATACATTAAAATATTATTTTAGATGGTTATTCTGATGAGGAACGTCTAATGACGCCCTCTGCACCCAGAGAATCACCACTCGTGCATGGAAGAAGTCATTAAGAACATACTTTCTTTTAAAATATAATAGTATTTTTAGTTTTAATGTATCTAAATTTTTAATTTCGTGTTGAATATTCCTTTAAATTCACTGGTGGGTTATTATCTGGACCACGCTGTGATTGGCGAAGTTTTGGAAGTCACAATCACACAACTGTATTTTCATAAATAGGAGTATTGTTAGTTGCCTACTTATAAAAGTTTTAAAATGTGTGTAAAAATTCAATTTTTAATTTATTGTAGTATTTTATGGGTTGTAGTTGTGAATAAAATGGTTTAATATGACTCCTGTTGTTTTTTTGTGGTTTTTCGGGTGCGTTCTGTCAAATAGGTGTCAATTTTGACGTCACGTCTCTGTGCGGTTGTTGGTGGTTGTGGACATGCCTTTAAAATGGCGTTGTCAACAATGAGCACCTAGGTTTCTTAGATTAATTGCTGTATAAACAGTTATTATATTAGTTTTAAAAGTTAATTTAGTTTAGTTAGAGTTGTATTAATTAAAAATGAACGGTTTGAGTTTTAGTGAGTTGTGTTGTCTGTTTTGTTGTCCACCTTGCCCAAGCAGAATAGCAGCAAAATTGGCATTTTTACCCCCAGAACCAACTTACGAATTCGTCTCAGACGAGAATGGAAAGTGTAGTTTTACCCTGACGGATCGAGCAGAATGGCAATACTCAGAAAGAGAAAAAGAAAACGTCGAGGGATTTTACACTAGAACGAATCGAGGGAATAGAATTGCCTGTTTGTTCGTTAGATGTAGTAATACTGCCAGATTTACTATATTGTTTTCCCATGGAAACGCCGTCGATCTCGGACAAATGAGCAGTTTTTACCTAGGATTAGGCTCAAGAATTAACTGTAACATATTTAGTTATGATTACTCCGGTTACGGAGTCAGCGCCGGAAAGCCCTCTGAGAAGAACCTCTACGCCGACATCGACGCCGCGTGGCAGGCCCTTCGAACTCGGTACGGAATCAGCCCCGAAAACATCATCCTTTACGGCCAAAGTATCGGCACGGTCCCCACTGTGGACCTAGCAGCTCGATACGAAGTGGGGGCTGTCATTTTGCATTCGCCTCTAATGTCGGGTATGAGAGTTGCCTTCCCCAATACCAAGAGAACCTGGTTTTTTGATGCCTTTCCCAGGTAAACAATTTTCATTCATTGTGTGTGCTAACCTCAATTCCATCGACAGCTTTTTCCTCATTTCGTTTTTCCGCTTGATTCGGCGGAAATTAAAGCGCTAAACCAGCAGGACTAAGCTGCTGATACCGCTTTAATACCTGATGCTGATTAGCACTTTCAGACAAACACGTGTTTAACAAAAGCAATCAATAATTTGTTCTTTGTTGGATACTTGGTTGAATTATTCACCTAACCCTTAGTTAAACACACAAAGGATTAATCCATAACGCTGCGTTATTCAAAAGTGTCAATAAACCGCGATAACTCATCAATTTTTCAAACCCCCATGGTTTTTTCGTCGTTTCATCAGAAATTCCAGCTCGCCTCAATCAATTAACATTTTTGGCGCTTAATCAGAGTATTGAAATGTCGGCAATGTTCATATTGGCAGAAGTACGTGGCGAAATTTCCATATCGGCTAAGGTCGATTAAAACAATGAATACAAATCGCACTGTTTTGGTAATTAGAACCCTACGTATGTAATAAATATCAGAAAATGTAAGTCATGATCAAAGTCCATAATTGATCGTCGACGTGAAACCCACAGCGAAACCTCTTTTGGCCAACTTGTCAAACTTTTCGCCTCTTTAGAGGTCGATGAATCAGCTTACACAACCATGTATTGACATTTCTAGTTTATAACAACCATCGTCAAAGAAACAGCTTTTTTTAGATCGTAATCGATAATTTGCTCTCTCTTATCAGTATTTCCACCGATAGTACCTTATCCGGCACTCGAAACGTCTCGAAAGTCGCTCCTAATCGCCCCAGTTCAGAGTTCCGCAAGGGTCACTTGACGACCCTCTTCTATCCGTCGAGAAAAAAAAGGAAAGAAATTTAAATTCAGCTGAATTACACAACCGGAAATGGTTTTACGACTGTCGCAATCAACTTTTTTCGCCTAATCGAGCGAGCGTTTTTCACTTTCAGTTTGCCTATCGATTATCATACAATAGGCCAGTGGCTCCGACATTTATTTTTAAATATTGACGCGTTTCTGTTTCCAACGCACCGATAAGTAAAAGATTTGGTGTTTCCACGCGTTATTGATATGTAATCGTTATCGTAATTGGTGCCGTCTTGCAATTCTGCACCGTATAATTAGTAAATGGGACTTCCGCAGAATTCCGGCCTTTCGTTTTCCTTCCGGATAACGCGATAGATTTGACAACATCGCGCCGCCGGTCTATTTGCGTGCAATATTCTTTATATATATCTTTAGAAATATTTTTTGCAGTGGAATTCCGAAACATTAGTGGAGATATTTTTAATGGAGTTTAGCATCCCTGGTATCTTCTATTTTTAACAATCGCTTTGTTGCCATTTAATCTGTGTCAAGCATATTCTGATATTTATTTCCATTCGTTTCATTTATCACCCACTAGATAGATTTTTCATGTGGGTGCACGAACAGATAAATATTATCGTTACTACGAATATGAATTCTCAAAGATATTTTTTTTTTCAGTATTGATAAAGTTCCCAAAGTCATGTCGCCAACCTTAGTTATTCACGGTACTGAAGATGAAGTTATAGACTTTTCCCATGGGCTTACCATTTTCGAAAAGTGCCCAAGAGCTGTCGAGCCGTTGTGGGTTGAGGTAATTGTTTTTTAGAGAGTGATTTTATTAGGCCATGAGCGGCGACACCTTCAAAATGATAACTGTAGACACGACTTTGTGTACACAGCTGCAGTAATGTACACGACACGTCAAAATAAAATAAGTAGTTGTTCGCAATTATTTTTTAATTTGCGTGTCGTATCTGAATGATGAATGTGAGTCATTAGAGTCGAGATTGTGTTACGAAAAAAATACATTTCCATTTGAAATTACAACGCTAGTTTAATCTCGTGGACAAGCATAATTAAAAACTGATTGTTCAGTTTGTCGACTTATCGGCGCAAAAAAGACAATTATGGAAATTTCGTGTACAGGGAGAAGCAAAAACAGTTTTCCGTTGTGGCTGCGAATGTCGCAATTTTTATTAATAAAACCGCGTGCATATTAAATTTTATTTTGCAAAATAAATTGAGAAAATCGTGTCATTCGTTTCAAACGTTCCAAGAAACGAGCGCATAAATATGCATCGTAAAATTTAATTACGGATTGGCATTACGTCACTTTTGCCACAATCCCTGATTCTATTATTGATAAGGTTTATTAGCTTCGAGCTTTGGACAGCTTTATTGTTTGGAGCTTTAATTTGATCAAGTAGTTCCTACAGCAGAGAAGTTAGCGTAAGTCCGAAAATTATCCATAGTATTTTTTTTAATAATTAGAAATTTGGTGCTCATTATTACGTATTTTACAAAATATGCTCATTTTCCAGGTTTAAATTACCCAGAGAGCTGCAGAAGCGCGTACTAACAAAGCTAATGAACAAATATGAAATTTTAAGTTCAGATTAAGAATTAATTACGTCAGAAAATACGGATTTTTCACTCGTAGCGTCTGTCTCAGATGTTTTATAGGCAATATCGTGCTTCTTTGGGGAGATATTGAGCGTAAATAATCACATGAATTGCGCTGCCGCTTCCTGTTTCTAAATACTGACGCTACTTATTTTTAAAATCAGTTTGCACAATTTTTTAATGTTACGTGTTCGTCACAAAGGAACAGCAGTGCCAAATAATGTAAAAAAATTACGGCACAGCATAAACACAAGAAATTTAGTCTCTCAAGGGGCCAATTGTACGTTTTATTCCCAAAGGGCGTGTCATAGCTTCTAGAACATGGAAAAGTAGGTCCAGTTTCCATCAGTCACGAATATTGTTTACATGGTAAAACCCTAATCAAAGTTTGTTTGATCGTCCCTACCAGAACGTTTAAAGTGCTTCGAGCTGCAACGTTAATGATATTTCAGTATTATATATTTTTTTAAATCAATAAATCATTTCCTCAAAATTTTTAGGGATAGAGAAAATTTGGTTAGTGTTCTACCATGTACGCGTTATTCGTAACACACATCTAAAATTTGACAACAATCGGTACTTTTCGAGATCATGTGTTCAATAAAAATCGACACACACGACGAACGGAAACGGGAAATTATTTCATTATTTTTTTATGTATTTGTTTTAATATATTTATTATTTAAAGAATTATTTAATTCCATATCTTGGTCGTTGATTGGTGCAACTTTTTCGTTTCCATTGGTAGGTAATGGGTAGGTATCTCTTAATTATGATTGATTTTTAAGAAACATCATTTCCTGAACTAACAGTGTCCATGTTCTTGAGCATAGTGATCTAAATGATTTTTTTAGCAGTCTATTCTGCACAATATTCCATCTGATCTGTCATCGCTTTTTTAGAATAATTATCTTTTTTGTGTTTAACGATGGCACCATTTCTTTCTTTGTCCAACTCTTTCGAGGAATTTCTTGTTACAAATAAAGCAGAAACATAAGTATAGTGTACTTATCAAAACTAAAAGAATGTGCCAAAGTCAGTCTTATCTTGACAAGTACTAGCCCCGCCCACCCGCCCTTTATTTTCTTAGAGAGTAGGTGATTTGCCAAAATCACTCTTATCTTAGCACGTACTAACCCCGCCCACCCACCCTCTCTCTTTTTAGAAACTACGTCCTTTGCCAAAGTCACTTTTATCTTTGCAAGTATACAAAACTCATTTGACACACACCTTGTAAAACTTTTATGACCTAAGCAGCTTAAACCTTAAAATGGACCCAAACCGCAAGGATTATTACTGTCCATTGTTGCCATAATGGAGCTGTAAAGTTTTACTAGGTATATGTGAACTGAGTTAAGTTATACAATAGCCAATTTGACTTATAAGGGTACTTTGGCTTGAGCCGCTTAAGTAATAAAAGTTTTACAAGGTGGATGTCAAGTGAGTTTTGTGTACTTAGAAAGTACGTCCTTTCCCAAAATCAGTCTTATCTTGGCAAGTACTATCCCGCCCACCCGCCTTTTATTACTTCCTGAGCGTAAGCTAAGGAAGTATAGTCATCGAGTCCATCGGCCGAATTGCCACTTTCATATTTTTTCGAGGTGCCATGACGTATAAAGTACGAAAAAAGTGGTCTCCCGTTTCCGTCTGTCTGTCTGTCTGTCTGTCTGTGTGGTGTCTGTATCCATTTTTATTATTATTATTTCTTGTTACAAATAAAGCAGAAATATAAGTATAGTGTACTTATCAAAACTAAAAGAATGTGCCAAAATCAGTCTTTTCTTAGCAAGTACTGGCCCCGCCCACCCACCCTCTCTTTTCTTAGAGGGTATGTCATTTGCCAAAATCAGTTTTATCTTAGCAGATACTAGCCCCCGCCCTCAATTTTCTTAAAGAGTATATCATTTACCAATATCAGTCTTACTTTAGCAGGTACTAGCCCCGCCCACCCACATTCTCTTTTTTTAGAGAGTATGTCATTTACCAAAATCAGTTTTATCTTAGCAGGTAATGGCCCCGCCCACCCACCCTCTCTTTTCTTAGAGGCTATGTGATTTGCCAAAATCAGTTTTATCTTAGCAAGTACTATTTTCTCGACGTGTCATGACCTCTGGAGTACGAAAAAAGTGGTCTCCCGTTTCCATCTGTCTGTCTGTAGTAATCTCCGTAACTACTGAACCGATTGTTGTCAAATTTTGTATGTATATTAGGACTGTGGATGGTTAAATGCTAATTAAAATTTGGCTAATCATCCCCACCACCAATGGGATGACGTCATCTTCAAAATTTATAATCAAGTTTTTTTTTAGTTTTATAAAATAAGATACACTTGTGGTGTGTGAATCCGTGTCAAATTTTCATTCAGAATTTTTGAAAAAATCCAAACTGAATAACAATATTTTGCAATATAACTTTGAAAGTTCAAAACCGATTACTCTGAAATCTTGTAAATATTTTAAGGTTATCGTGTTCGTGGTAAATCGTCAAGCAAAATTTATTAGTTTATACGCGCCCAAAAAATTTATGACGTCATATAAAAATTTTGCCGAATAAACACTATCCAAAATGTGTAAAAAATATACTTGTGATTTATCATTGTTTAAAAGTTTTTCAATTTCTTGTACAGGGTAAGTCAAAAATTAATGAATGAGTCATTCCGTTTCCCCAAAATTTGGGAATACAATATTTTTATCATTAGTATTACACTGCACCTATTCAAAGTGATGTAAGTGTATAATGTTGATGACGTCATCACAAAATTTTGTTAAGGAAAAACTTATTTGGAACGTATGTCCAGCACTGTTCTTTACATTTACTTTAACGTTACATACATATCCTTATTTTAATTTATAAGAGTTCTCATAAAAAAATTAAGTTCGCATAATCAAATTTTATAATTTTTCGAAAAAGCTGTGTTTGTTTTATTATTTTTTCAGGGGCGAGGGAAGTTCTGTCGAAATAACTTTCGACCAATTTTTTTCTTGCCATTTGGCAAAATCAGCCTTATCTTGACAAGTATTAGCCCCGCCCACCCGCCCTCTTATTTTCTTGGAGGGTTTGTCATTTGCCTGAATCAGTCTTATTTTTTGCTTGAAATTAAAATTTATCGATTCTCCTGTGTTAAAGAATTGTGACGAATTTATCGTGCTTTAAAAATTTTTATTTATTCATCCCTTTCGTAAAATTGATGACGTCATCACAAATATATTCAAAAAATCTTTATTGGAATTACACAGTAACATTGTACTACATTGTTGCCATCAAAATTAATATAATTAGTCCAAGGAAGATTCGATAACGTTATTTTAAAAACTACTTCAAGTGGGGGCGTTTTTTTTTATTTTTTTATCTTGTATTCGACAGATTTCATGTGTCCATGAGAAAATTAGCATGATCAAGACGTTTAAGGACTGATCCAAGGTTATATGTGTAAATATGTAGAGAACATTTTCTGTACCACCTTTTTACTTAGGAAGTATTGTAATCGAGTTCGTCGGCCGACTCTCTGCTTTTACATTTCCGTCCGTCTGTCATTCTATCATTTTTTTTTTATTGTAAAAGTTGAAAATCGAAAAAGTGGAAAATCGAAAAATTGCAGATCAAAAAACTGAAGAAACAAAAAATTAAAACATGGAAAAACTAAAAATCGAAAAAATTGGAAAACCCAAAAATAATAAAATAGAAAAATTATAGAATCTTTAGAAAAACTGTAACATTGAAAAATTGAAAAATTAAAAATAGAAAAATTGAAAAATGGAATAAATGAAAAAGTTAAAATCCAATAATTGAAGAATGGAAAAATTCCAAAGCTGTAAAATTAAAATTTAAAATAACATTGAAAAACCGAACAATTGAAACAGTAAAGAAAATAGTAAACCGAAACAAAAAATTCCAAATTGAAAGATTGTAGAAATGAAAAATTGAAGAACTGACAATTTGGAAAAATGAAAATTTAAAATTCGTGAACTTGCAAATCGAGAAATTGTGCAATCTAAAAACCGAAATATCCACAAGTTGGAAAATCAAAAAATTGAGAAATTTAAAAATAGAAGAAACAAAAAATGGAACATTGAAAAACTGCAGATCGAAAAATTGAGGAAACAAAATATTTTAAAAACTGAAGTTGAAAAAATAAAAAATTATAAAATCGGAACGTTGAAAAATCGAAAAATTGGAAAAATAAAGTAAATAAAAACCTAAACGAAAAATTGCTATTGGAAAATTATGAAGAAATGAAAAATTAAAAATTGAAAAATTCGAAAGTTGGAAAATTGAAAACCGGAAAATTTAAACTTGAAAACTCTGAAAACTAAAGAAGCAAAAAATGAAAAATTGAAGAATCAAAAAATTCAAGTCAAAAAAGCTGCAGGATTGTTATTTACGCCATTGGTTTTAACTTTGTAGACGTTATCTTCTCAGAAAACGAAAAACGCATTTTTTTTTATTTTTTCAAATAAACGGGAAGTTCTGTCGAAATAACTTTCGCCCATTTTTTCTCTATTTTTCGTATGATTAGAAAAGAAGTGAGTTGTGGGATCATCACATGCGTTGAACATACTACTCTTATTGTTAAATATTTCTAGAGACTTTAAAGAATCCAGAAGTGTGTTGAATTTAAAATTCTACCAAATCGCAGATTAGCCACTCGTTTTTTGAACTCTGTTCAAGGTCTTACCTCTCTTATTTGTCCATATTTGATTAAAATCTCTTCAGATTTAACTCGACTTAATATTTCGAGTTCTCGAAAAGGTTTTTGTAGCTTTAGTCATAAAGTTACGTCGTTTTCATATCCGTGCTTTGAAATTTTTTCGCAACTCCAAAAATTTGGTTGACATGCATGAAACGAGGTTTTTCTATTTAGTGGTAGCTTACTCCGATAACGGTTTTTTTTTACTGACTTTATGGCCGGATTTAATAACCAGATCTTTAGAATATTTACAAATATGAATGGAGCTTAACGTTTTAACTCTGATATCCGTCCTGATCCCCATTGGTCTCTATTTATTGTTATGGAGGAAAGGGCGCAGTTGACAATTATAATTTTTCATCTACAGGGTGAGTTAATAAAAAATGAAATTTTCTGGTAATTCGTTGAAGGTGTCTGCTGCTCAACTTGACCTGGTTGTTGTTTTATGTGTGCTGGTTCCAGGGCGCAGGCCACAACGACGTGGAGTTATATAATGTGTACCTGGAAAGACTTAAACAATTCGTAAATGTTGAGTTAATCAACTGACAGCTGCTGGGCACGGACGATTGCACATTTAGTTCCGGAACCTCAAGTTCGGTGGAGGAAAAGTTGCTCTAGCCCGGGGCAGCGGACTTGGTGTCCCGCCAGTCCGCTACGCCTCTGTACTGCCCTTCACCACACCTCGCCCTGCGCGCGCTTTCGGGCATTCTGGCTCGTGCCGAACGCCAGTGCAACAGCGCCCGCAGTTCGCCACATTCCCGCCAAGTGGCAGTGGCGCCACCGTCGAAAGCGCATTCTCTGCCAGCTTGCAACAGTGTGCCACCAGTATGCCTTACTGCATGCCGCTGTATGGTTCTCGAAACTACTTGCTAGCACTAGTGTACATACGATGTGGACTTTTATTAAATAATCGGACAATCTTTCAAGTGATGCAATATTAAATGTAGTACCCATCAACGTAACTCTCAGTGTAATTTACAGTGTGGACTCTCAACTATCGATCGGTTATGATGATGATGAAGATGATGATTAAATTCAAGTGTTTCATTTGGTGCATTGGGCTAATGTTAATATTCCTTTACTATTGATTTTTATGTGACTGGATGCTCGAATTTTTCAATAATATACAGATGTCCACCAAACATACGGAGGAGCGTTACCAACTGTACAAACTCAATTTTTTTTAATATTAAAAAAATACCCTGTCAGGGCTAGGGCATAATTTTCGTCTCTTAAGATGTTTTAAAGTTGCATTTTGTCAAACACACTTACGGTTTGATCTGAGGTGTACAAGTTGTTCAGCTGTTTTGTGGACATGGTGTATTTTATTATTTGCCTTTTATGTTCAGTAAAATAATACCCATGAGTGAGTATAGGTGGGCTAGTTGACATATGTGGGGTACTCTACTAGCCCACGAACATTATTTTATTGAAGCATAAAGTAATTAAGTAATTTTTAATACATTTTATTAATATGGTAAATCATTTTCTAAGTACCATATTAGGACTGTTTTATGTAACAGATTCATTACGGGACGTCGATTTTCGCTTAAAAGGAGCTTTAACTTATTAAACTAGCACAAGAATGAAACACAATTTGAGTCCCGGCTGTTACATAAAACACTCCATTATGTGAATATAGGCAATTTTTTATAGAGAAATACATGCATTATTATGATTATTTAAATTATTAGTTTTTTTTTGTGATTTTTTTTTGTGAAATTGAGTAATATTTGATACATATCATTTTAAATTAATTTTGCATTTACTATAAACATAGAACTATGTAAGATAACTTTATTTTTTAAGTTTTGTATTTGTTCTGTTTAGGAATCTTCAAAATTTTACCTGAGTTGTTAAATTGTCCCCAAACATCTTTGCAACTTTTCATTTCCAAAAAATTTAAAATAAATATATGAAAACAGTATTTATACATTATTTTTTGTTTCATTTATGTAATTTACGAACACCTGACTGAACCTCGACTTTATTTTTCAATTAATATTATTTACCAGACAATAACTTGTACTGTTGAAACACTGAACAACCTATTCATAATAAATAGTTTTAATTATTTCTAGACACGTTGGCGGCCAAAGCTCAAATTATGTAAAAGGCGACTGACGTGTTAACTGCTGAACCATGTTTTCTCATTTTTATAAACAAATGGTTAATAAAAAGATACCAATTTGACCCTTGTACTTTATTCAATATGTATAGATAAAGACGATTCAAATAAAAAGTAACCCGCGTTAAGTAATTACGGGTCCCAACAGTACCGCCATCAATCGAACTAGAAAGTCACTAAATGCACGTGACAACCAGCATCACTTTGTTAAAAATAGGTATGCACATGATTGAAAATAAGTGGTTCTTCTAAACCGTTAATAGTTGAAAAATGAAAAGGAATTTTCAGAAGGAGAAAGATGAGAGTACAGTGTCACGAGTTTTTTTATTCTTGAAGAAATTATAAAAATATATTTTTTAGAATACCCCCATTTTAGAACGCAAATGATACGCCACTGGTTAAACCACGCAGATTATGATGACTCGACATTTTCATCTGATGTCAAGCGCGGTGTTTTCATAGTTTTTTCCCCGAGATATGATGCAATCATGAAGTTCTAGTTGAATTACCAATATTAGTAGGCTAGTTGTAATCGTTTAAAAAAACTTCAAATTTGAAAATTCCCGCGTAACACGATTACGTACGCCAACCAAACTCCTACCAACTAAACCAACCAAAGTCGCCAAAACCACGTGAATAACTGATGCATGTCAATATTTTATCTGATTGTTTAAAAAATATAGTTTTATTATTTCCAAATAAGTGTTGTTTGTTGCTTTCTACATTTCGTTGCTTGTAACTTTGGCGGGAAATCGTTGGAATTCAAAAGTCCAAGTGTCATGGTCAGCTGTCTCAATCGTGCTCCACTTTGATAACCATTTTTCGAAATGTTATCATGTAACAAGTGCGACATTCATTAAATCAGTAACAGTGAAGTGAACACTTCAATCTCGATCAGATAAAAGATTACAGGAATGTCAATTTTAGGCAACCGATCGCAAATAATTAGTCACACCTTTAGAATCTGGAATTATAGTACAAAACGCTTTTGTAGTCTACCCCTCAACCGTACTAACAAAAAATCGTTCGTTTATCTCAGAAAGAGCCAGCGTTATATCACCACAAGAATGGACGCCGCAGAAAAGCCCCTATCAACGTTCAAATTCACAGACTACGACTGCATTGGGTTCGACTTAGACAACACACTGTCTCGCTACAAAGTAGGTGCCATGATTGAAATGGAATACGGCGTGATGGCGAATTTTCTCGTGGAAAAAAAAGGCTACTCGAGAAAGCACCTGTTGCAACCTTTCGACCACAATTTCATCCTCAGAGGGTTAATCGTGGACGACGAAAACGGTAATATTTTAAGAATTGCGAACGATGGGCACATTTTACAAGCTTCACACGGCACCAAGTTCCTCCAGGACGAGGAAATCGAAACGTACTACCCCAACAGACACTGGAAAGTGTCAGATATTTTTGTACAGGACCCGCTAACGACGTGGAACGGACCCTACTCGGAAAAAATGCGCACTCTTCTGGATTATTTTGACATCGCGGCTAGTTTAATTTTTGCAAGAGCGATTGACGCTATAGATGAGCAACAAAATATGGTGCAAGATAAGTACAACGTGTGGGTTGATATTTTAGACGCTTTGCAGAATATGTTCAATAGGAACCATTTTCCGACTGGAGAGGGGGAATATTTTACAAAAATGAAAACTCATCCAGAGTTGTATTACCATAAGAGTAGTGAACAGTTGTTACAATGGTTGCGGCAATTGAAACACCAACAGAAGAAGTTGTTTTTGCTGACTGGGTCTCACGTGGATTTTGCTTCTCACACCGCCTTGAATACTATAGGTCCAAACTGGAAAGAATATTTTGATATTGTTGTTTGTTTTGCCAAAAAACCGGGATTTTTTACCATGAGAAGAGACTTCTTGAGGATTGATGGTAATGAAGAAGGAGCTCCTGTTAGTTTAAATGACTTACAACTAGGAGGCGTGTATTCTCAAGGTAACTGGACAGATCTTCACCAATTTTTGTCAAGACATGTAAATAAATCTATGCCGAAATTTCTATACATAGGAGATAATTTAATACAAGATATTTATACACCTCATATTCATTCTCACTGTGATACGGTGACGGTATGTGAAGAATTGGAAGCCGAAGGGGTGTATGGGTATCGTCAATGGCATCCGGATCAGCACTTTCTTGTATCTACAATATGGGGCTCTTACTTCCATTATAACAATGTCAATACAAATTGGTATCACTTAATGAAGAAACACTCCAAATTGTGTATACCAAGTCTGGAGTATATCGCGGCTTTACCCATCGACCATACGTACACCGGAAACGATGTATAGAAAGCTTATTGTTTTATGTTTACAACCAATACTTAATTGTAGTCCGTTAATAAATTAATTTTCCAAATTTAAGCATTTTTGTTTAAACTAACCCAACTTAGTTTGACAGTTCGTAAAACTAGGTTGCGCTCGAAATCATACGACAATAATTACTAAACCACAATAATACTTTTAATGAGATTCCAAAACAAATATGACATACACTGGTCACCCTATAAAACACATAAAAAAAATAATCATTTAACACATTTCAACTGCCATTGCTATCCCCATCCCTCCTCCAATACACAAAGCCGCCACTCCTTTCTTTTTATTCAATCTTTCCAAATTGTGAATAAGAGTGACCAGAACCCGGGCCCCCGAAGCACCTATAGGGTGCCCTAAAGCGATAGCACCTCCAGTAATATTGACTTTAGTTTTATCAACTTGTAGAGACTCTAGAACTGCGATGCTTTGAACGGCGAAAGCTTCGTTTAGTTCGTAGAGATCTACATCGTCCTTGGTCCAACCAGCTTTAGCCAACTGTAAAGGAATCAGTGGTTAGGTTAGTGGTGACGAAGCTCCCGAATTACGTACAACTTTCTTAACGGCGTCCACAGGTCCTATGCCAAACAGCATGGGATCAACTCCGGCCTCTGCAGTGGCTACAATTCTAGCCAAGGGGTTTAAATTTTTCTGTTTTAGTTGATTTTCGCTGCATAGGACCAAAGCGGCCGCACCGTCGTTAATTCCAGACGCGTTTCCTGCGGTTACGGTACCTTTCTAAAAAATAATATAAAAAAAAATTAATTTCGACACAATTGACTCGGTATGTGTTGCGCAACGGAAGTAATAAACTTAAGTCTACATACAGAGTCATCTTAAGTCAGTGTATATATAAAATCCTGATTCTTGAAATACTTTGTTTTTAGACGAGGTGACCAAGATAATCCGTAATTGAGTCATGCTTAGTCACAATATTAGTAATAAACTATATAACAAAGCTAACATACTGGATCAAAAACTGGTCTCAACTTGGCCAACCCCTCTAACGTAGTTCCGGCCCTTGGAAACTCATCCGTATCAAAAACCTTCCCCGTTTTCTTATCAACAACCCCCACTATCTCTTTCTTGAAGTGCCCCCCTTGAATTGCCTCTTGCGTTTTGGTTTGTGATTCGAGTGCGTACTTATCTTGAGCTTCGCGCGATATTTTATATTCTTTCACTAAATGCTCAGCTAAAACAACAAATCAACACAGATCAAACTTTATTTAAATAAGTACCAGTTTTCCCCATGTGGATTTTATTAAAAGCATCAGTCAATCCATCTGACAATAAAGTGTCACTGAATTCGACGCCCCCTAATTTACTTCCGCGAATATAGGCGGCATGTTGTGCCCTAGACATGTTTTCTTGTCCCCCAGCAACAATAATATCGTAGTCCTTGTTACAAATAGCTTGATAGGCCAAACATACTGACCTACAAGTGACTTAGTACTATTTGTGTTAATAAAAAAAAAGCGTACTTTAAACCAGATCCACATAACATATTTACAGTGTAAGCAGGAACGGAGTATGGAATTTGAGCCCCCACTGAGGCCTGTCGCGCAGGGTTCTGTCCTTGACCCGCTGTGAGAATCTAGAACACGGTATAACAAAAGAAGCAAAAATAAAAGGTCAAATACCTGACCCATTATCACTTGGTCCACATCCTGGGGGCTTATTGTCGCGCGTTTTAAGGCCTCCGAAATCACAACTGAACCTAACGCATTTGCTGGGGTTTTGTCAAACTGGCCCTGGAAACTACCTGCGACACGTGGATTATTTTACATTTTATTATGTTCTGTATTTTTTTTACTTACCAATTGCCGTTCTACAGCCTGATACAATAAATACTTGGTTTGAACACATCGTGCTTGTTGGGTGAGCGAAGCGAAACGAATACTTTTCAAATAATATGAGTCGGTTTAGAAAGTTGCTTAATTATGCGGCCGAATTTTCTTAACGGTGCATTTTCTTCTAAAAAATGGGACAGTGTTGAGGTTAGGTTGTGTACGATGGATGTTCCACATGAAAGTGAGCTGTCACCGGCTCCCGGACTCTTCCAAGTTAATAAGTTCATTGCAAAACGTGATTTTTGTCCTAGTGGGTTTTTAGAGTCATTATTTAATTGTAACATGTTTTTCAGGTTATGTTGTAACTCGTACGTAGTCTACACTTCTATGCAAACAATTATCTATGATTACAAAACAAGGCTATTATTTATAAGATAATAAGTGTTATTTGTGTTATTTTTATTTATATATGGGGCTCATTTTTTAATGAAATTTTCTAGCACGCCAACACAATTCATATTTTTCTGTTTTTGTAGGTGATAAATTGCAGTTTTGTTGTAAAATAAAAGCCCAAATTAACCGATAAAACAAAATGACGTAACAACTGGTTTCTCATATTTTTGTCGAGATATCGGCGCCCGTAAAAGATCAATTTAATGACAAGTTTACAAGCTATCGGTAGAATTTATGACCACTTTCTACACATTTTTATTTAATACAAATATAAAATGTGACAATCACAAAGCGTAACCACTCGTACAAATTTCCGTTCTAAAACCGTCAAAACAATATAAATTACATTAATATAATGTCGTTATATGTAAGTGACTTTATTGAAACGTGTTATTGTTATCGACAAAGTCGAGTTTTTTAATTGACAGAATGATTTAGTTCAACAAATGACATTTGAAGGTTTATTAACGCAAATATAGTGTATAAATACACCACAGTTGTCACGACTCGTACTTATCTTCGATCCACCATCAAATATTTACTTATGTCAGAAAATAACACGATCTTACAAAAATACAATATGCTGATGTCTTCCGAAAAACAAGCAATGAACTTTCGTTACCTACATGTCAAGCCATCATAGTTGATGACTTATAATGCACGATAATTATAATAATAAATTATCATAATAAGACCTTAGCATCCTTATTAATCGCGGTATCAACATTTTTGTACTAATTTTGAAAATTACGAAGGCCAATTCTTAAAAGTAAATCAGCCATGATTATTCTCATAGCAACAGAAAAAGATTACCATTAACTTAAATACTGCATACTAATTGCCCTCTTATCCGCGAATTCAACGAATACGCAAATCAGCAACTGTTAACGAAACGAAAAATCGCTCGACCCCATATTAACATTCAAGTAATTTAAATTTCTTCACAACTTTGTTAAATAAATTTAGTTAAAATGTGCCAAAAAGAGTTTGAAGTGCTCGAGTGACAAGCACGTGTAAGCTGTGATTGTTGATGGTATAAAAGACTTACGTCAAAATACTTCGGTCACAATCACAAGTCTTTGGACTCTTTTTTTGGCACCAAAAACACAATGTTGTAACAAGTTTTGTATGTAAATGTGCGAAGCACTTGAGTCATCTTTCAAAAGAATGCAAAAAAAGTAGTTTTCAAGGAAAGCGCTAACTTTACGTAAAAACTGCAGCAACTAAATCGATTCCGAAGCTAGTGTTATCGACGAAACGCCTGTTTGCGTGGACGTTAACATTATCGTATGCAAACCATTTTATGCTTGTTATTTGCATATTCTGCGATCGCATATATATGCGCATATTTGTGTATGTTTCGGTGCACACAGTACTAGCCTAACACAAATACAAACGTTTTCGTGTGCTTTGATTTGAAGTTGGCGCCAAAGCGCCCTCTCGCGGTACGTCAATCCCGGCGGCCGCTAACCTGCAATTTCGCGTCTGTTTTGCGGGTATCGGCCCTTTGGTGTTGTTTTTGGGGCTGTTGGCGTTTTTTTCGATGAGTTTTTTCGTTTGTGATGCGATTTTCGGCTCGTGTTTCTGGGGGCGGTGAGCGGAATCCCCCTGGTGGTGGTTTATTGAAACGAAACGTCAAGTTTAGATTGTTCACGTTATGTCGTTGATGTAAGTGGTTAGTGGTGTGAGCCAAAATGGCAGAAAACGCACGGGATATTTCCGAACAACCCAAATCTGCAGGTTAGAATCGTTTCCAGTGTTTCCCTTTAGACATTTAGGACGTTTCGGGGCGGATTAGGGCTCGATCGTTGCGAAAATCGGGCGTTTTGGGCAGCTAAGTTATATAAGTGAAAAAAGTCCACCATCTGTGGGTTTCATGTACCAGATAATTAAACGATAAATTTTATTGTAATCTCGCGTTAAGTCGGCAAATTTGAGCGGTTAGTGTGTTAATGGATGATTCGAGACGTCAACCGCATGTGCTCATAGTTATTAAAGGAATATTGAATTGAAGCGAATGACAGATATTTTTAAGACCTCCGGTGTTTCGCTGACGAACTGTCAAACTTCAAATCAACATTTCTTAGCCAAAACCGGCATTTTTTGCTCATTGTTAATAACAAACTAGCTACTAACACCCCCTGATTGCGGTGGTATGAAAAACCTAGTCGAACTTCGGGCATTTTTAGGTTAGATTTCCCCTTTGGGGCTAGCGACGTAAATAAATATTCCATCCAAGTCACCGGTTATTTTTGTGCATAATACACAAATTTGCACAAAATCTCGTTTATCTTATCACTTGCTAAAGTGCGCAGTGGTTTTAGATAACCATTTTGGAAAATTCTCGTGCCACGTGGGCCTTATGTCCCTCAAAATTGTTGACATTGGCTCGAAATGTTTACAATTGCAACGACAGGAGTGGCTTCAAAGCGCTTTTGCCTCGATTTAAAGTCGATTAATGTAATTAGATTAATTATACGTGCGATTGTGCATAGATTACGCAGATCCGTTACTTGTGGACAACGTGTTAAATTTTTTAATTTGGTAGATGGGTAGGTGAGGTGCTAATTTGTATTTGTGGAACACCCAGCACGAACTTCAGACTGTTTCTAGACTGTCGTTATCGATTACATTATGGAGAATTATAGATGTCGCCGAATTAACGCCAGAAATTCCAAATATTCCGTTTGTTGTTTTTTATTCTATATGTGGTGGACGAGTGCTCTGCTATATTTAAAGTCTGCAGGCTCCCTTGCAGCGTGTATACAAACTTTTTTAAAACGTGACTTCACTATATTTATCATTGTCAACGGCAGCTGAGAATGAAATTTACGAATATTCTATATTAAAATTATTAGGTGATTTATCCCAAAGACTTTAGACCGATAGACGTACACGATTGATAAATCGCAGCTTAGAATTTGTTCCCTGACACTCAGAAACAGAACGTCATTTTTCTGACGTTCGTTAGGTCACTAAAATTACCAGAAATCTTTCCACAAAATTTATTTACAGAAAAATATTGTTATTGCTTATAATTAACAATACAACGTAATTAGATACGTAGTTATACAAACACTTTTTTAACATTTATCTGTAACCTTTATCCATTACGTATCAAGTTTTGTTCGAATTTAGGTAAACTCCCAAAGGTAAAAAACCAAATCAGTTATCAGAATCTTTGATAAGATGATGATTTGTTTTTACACCTTTTGATCCGGAACTTCAGATAAAAACTAAGATCTTCATGGATCGAATGCACGCTGATTTGCAGTGATTATGTTGTATTCGTGTAAATTATGAAGCATATAAAAGTGCTACTCTCTGACCACCAAATTTTCCTTGAGAGTTATTACCTAGATGTCGCATGTCACGTAGACACGGCATAATAAAACAGCGCTACACAAAAACGTCCTTTTCTGTAAACGAAATATAATATTTATTGTTATTATTATGTCTGAGATCTACAGTAAAATTGTAGGAAGTTGTAATGTGGATACAATGAAAAGGACGCAAGTCAGTACTGTACTAGACATTTCTGTTTCTCCTGTTTTACGATGTATTAATTAGGTGTCTCCGATTTTCTAGACAATATCCCACTTATGGTTCAGGACATCGGAATGTGGTTAAAACTAAATTTAATGACGACTTTGGCAAAAGTCCAGGTTGACTTTATATTAGGGTGCCGCCACAAATGTTACGTTTCAACTTCACACTGATATAAATTTTTTTCAGATTTTTTTAGTTTAGCTGCTCCTTGCATATCGACATCACAGAAAATAAGCGAGATATTGTGTGTCGGAAGATCACTCGGTATAACCCAAAACTTAAATTGACACATTATATCAAAATGTGTCAATTTAAGAAAATGGAAACAGAAATGTTTGAATTCCCCTGAACAAAGCTAACTTTTACAGTTTAGTAATGACTTCGTGTTCAAACGTTTCGGTTGATGTTTCATGGCCGGTCCGGTCGGCTTTCGGTAGAGCACAATTTAATTAAACAGATTAGTGTACGGTATTTCAAAACAATGCGCAAAATTTAATATGGATCTTCGTGGTGAACCCAAGACGTGAAACACGAATTTGGGTTTAAAGGTTTTAACTAATCAGCCGACTGAAATTGCTTACATTGTTCGTTTTCAGATAATATCATGAGTGACATAATTTCTGGGAATCTGAATGCGTCTGCCATGAATTCCGAATGTCTCAAACGTCGCATAAACGTCGTAACTGAACTAAGGGTTGCAGAAAATCCAATAGTTTTGATGTTCGTCAAAGATACACACATTATGAGCAGATTTTTTAATTATCATATTCATGTTTAAATATTAGATGAAACAGTCTGTATGGGAAATTTCAAATGACCAGTTTTGCAGGAAATTAATCCACTTTACTTTTATTATTTATACCCAGAATAATATTTCTTGGGAAATATGCTCTAATGAGATAATATTCAAAACTACTGAACCGTTTTTTATCAAATTTTATATCTATGTCAAGAGTGTCGTGTAGATAGTAAAACCCTAACCAAAACGTGTCTGATCATCCCCACCAACAATGGGATGACGTCATCTCAAAATTTTATTACATTTGTGGAAAAAAATCAAAATTGTGTATCTTCGATAACAAAAAATAGTTTCTTAATTAACATTTGTAGATATTTTTTTATGAATAATTTCCCGGAAAGTCATGTAGGAATTTCTAGCACTTGATTAAAAGTTGTGTTTTAGCTTAACGATAAAATTGGTGTCGCATATCACATCAGCGTAGTATAATCAAAGAAATAATGTAACTGAAGGTCAAACTTGAACATGTGGTATCCGAGACTGTACAAGAATGTGAATCTATGTAAATATTGTTAAAATATAGGGCATCGTGTGTATTTTGCAAATGAATATTCGTATTTGAATGAGTTTATCCAGTTTTAATTAGTTGTTGGATTATACGCGGACACGACAGCACGAGCAGCCGGCCGTTGAATTGTTCAGTGTGCTAATAAAAAATGAGATTTCCATCGTTATAAAAACAAAAGCAAAAAAAAACCTCAATTAAGATCGCTGATTGGAGTTATTCCAAATGAAGTAATTAATGCAAAACCACGTTGTTTGTCGGATAATCTCGTTACGTATCACGGAATAATCGATACGGCTGGCTCCGAAAACAATTTCTTGGCTGAATGAATAATTGGCCACATATAATCGCATCTTCTCCATAGAGAATTTCGCTGTCGATAATTGGAAAGCAAATTACCGCAGTATGAATGAAATTCGGTTAATTTCTAGTTGAACGCTCGCAAAAACGTCGCTTAGCTATATTTAACCGGCGATAAATAGTAAGTTCACAACAAATTGAGCTGTTCCTTAAGTGTAACAAATTAGTTTTTGCCCCATGAAGTGTTAAGAGATTACAAATTCCGGCTTCGGTGCATTTCGAAGCGACGTCATAAGTGTTTATTTCGCTTTCTAAAGGTGGGGTCTTGAGGGTAATAAATTTAACGTGACGTAATTCCGGATTCCTTTTTTTCTGAATGAATGGAGTCTATCAATCGAGAGACATCTGTCGGTGGGGAATTAAAAAAAAAAAGCGCGGAGGTGCGTTGGATCTAACGCGTCACCTATCTCTTATTATTTAACATTAATATGCACATAATTGTTTAACACAAATACTTAAATGGCCAAGGTTATATTGTTGAATCGTGTGCGCAGGATTGCGTTTTCTCTAACTCACCGAAAAGATTATTCATATTTTGGTTTTATCACTATCGGACTGATAATGCTTGTGTGAATGTTGGTTTATTAGTGCGTTACGTGCATGTTTGAGGAGTGTGTGGTGCTCTAAAAATGGTTCCGGAGGGTATCAACAGTGACTCTCTTGATTACTTAAGGAGTATTCTCGTTAAGTCATTGTCGTCGGAAAACGTCGGGAAGAGCGACGTGCTGAAAGTGAAACAATACAGAAACAACAAGAAAGTTACATTCAATGCCAAGAATGTAGGTAAGATCAAGTTAAAGGTTCGACGGTTTAAATTTAAACGGTGACTTTCCTGGTGATAGCCTCCAAATGACCTTAAAGTAATTAACGTGTTTGTTTATAACCTGCAATTCTTATTCGCGCTTTGTCCCACTTATGTGCAAATATTCAAATAAGATTGTAATTTATGCCAGGAATTTTTATTATCCTTCGTTAAGTCATCGATATATTTAACAATCCGCGGAAACTTACCTCATTATTGCATTCTCAATCGACCAAATGATAAACTGCACTGTGTTTTTACACCGTTTAAAATTAGAATTCTTGACGGAAGTTTCGACAGGAAGTGAGGTAATTGATCTTGTCTTCAAATTGTTTACGACCGATCGTTTTATTACCGATAAATACAGTCGAACTTCCAAACAGCGAACACGGTGCAAAGCATAAACCAACCTGAAAACATTGGGAGCACTATATTTTTTGAAGTCCAAGTGTAAACGTTTTCGTCTGTCGACGTTTAAACGCTTTCATCCCACAAAAAAATCAAGAAAATTTGAAACTGATCTGAAATTTTGTGCTTTAAGGTCATTGTAAATCGCTAATCGAAATCCCGAAATGTGTACATTTTTGGAAAAAATCAAAATTCTACTACATAGTTTTACAGTTTATCTTAGGAACTACTGAACCGAGTGCTTGAAATGTAGCACGCGCTTTGAAGTTATCCTCAGCCTGATAGATCGGTAACCAAAATTTGCCTATCCATCGTCA